CAAATTGCATATTGCTGTTCCTGCAGAATGGGGCGATTAACCTTAGTGACCCTCACCATATCTGCTGATCAGCTGACGCCACCCTCCCTCCTTTTTTGATGTTAGGCTCTGAGACTATGATTATTATGGCTACCGCAAATATATTGCTTGGTACCAGACATGTTGGTACCTCATATTCCATCTCCCTAGCCTTCCTAATAAGCGCTCCCAATAGGTCTCCGCGTACATCTTTATGAACATATTATATATGTATGCATGCCTTTTAATGAACAGATTACTTTATAAGAATTTAAAACCTTTAAGAATAAAAAGAATAAGTTTTGTGAATAGTGGAGCAAGATTCAGCAGAACAATATAGTTAGGGTTCAATGTAAGTAGTATGAACTGAAGGTAAGGTCGGTTGGCAGGACATTGATGCGCTACCTTTTGAAGAATTGTAGGACTTACAGCAGTACGTCTACAACCCTTCTCAGGTTGACGCTCTAGGTTGGAAAATCGTCGCAGAGTTCATTTGCTGACTTCCCCACAAGATACTTGAGTTGATGGGCGTCCTTCTCATTGTGGATGACAACACCAACGACAACTGATTGATACCAGTTGATGAACTTAGCGGTGGACCAGAAGCTGTTGTTGTTCGGCTTTCAGATAGTTGTCTAACTGCAAGATTACCACCACTGCTGTCTTTTACCACTAGCTCCGGTTTAGCACTAGCATCTGATGATAGGTGGGTTTCACTCTGATCAATTACACTGACGGTTTGACAAGTATGCATGCCTTCTGCAACTGCATCTGCATTTAATTCTACTTCACGTTCAAGTTGTACAGAACCTTTATTCAACTTAGCAGTAGTTGGTATTCCCCTCATTTCATCATGATCAGCCAAAGACAAATCTGCACTATCATAATCATTACCACGAATATTCACTTTACCGTCAACTTCATCATTTTCAAACTCTTTACTAAGAGAAGTAGACAATTTTGGCTCCTCCTCACAAATCATTAGAGGTTCGATACCTTCACTCTGACTAGTAATACCTTGTAAACTTTTGGAGTCAGAACTGCACTCTGAAGCAGTAACTCTATTCTATGACACTCTATTCAACAATGGCTTACCAGTTGCAACTACAGACTTCTTCACCGCACCGTTATCGTCACACAATTCGGAGTCAGACCTGGAGTTTACATTTAGCTTATCACTGAACTTGCTCACTGGTTCACAGTTCACTTCTGTATGCACTTCTTGCAAACGTGTGAAACACGACTGTGTTTGTCTTGCATCTTGCAACTTATCTGTTGAGCATGTACTACGAAACCTGTTGCACTCATTAAGTTTATATGCATTACTAGACATCATGGAGCCTTCTCGATATCCACCTCTCTGAGGCTTATTCGTCATCAATGAGTGCGTTTTACCCTCAGACTGCTCTATTCTAGGGGTGAGATTTAATAGACTGGAAAACTTGCTCATAGATTGATTGACGCTATCTTTTACCAGTTTCAGGATATCATCAAACTTTGGCTCGATACCCTCATCCTCCATACGGGAGTTTATCTTCACCCACTTCCTTTGCAGCCGAGTAGGTAGGCGTCTCGCAGGTACCTCTAGGACTGAGCTCGAGTTGAGGTCACTCATGCGATTGATAGAAATCAAGGTATTCTTATAAGTCATCAGATTATCTAAAAACTCAGTGAGTGCCTGGGAGTCATCTTGTAGTTGACTGCCGTTACCTTTGACAGCTTCGAATACGTTCCTTACAATCATTGAAGGTCTTGCAAACCTTCGCTCATAGCCTCAGCGTATCCCTCATTAGGGGGCATGAGCTTACAGCACTGTATATCTCTTGCAGCATCTCCAGTGCAATACCTCATCAAATACATCAATTTCAATTCATCGCTAAATAAAAAACTACTCAACATGATCTCAAACTCCTTTACAAATGGTAAATAATCAGCCGGGTTTCCATCAAAACACCGTGGTTCAAATTTAGGGAGTTTGATGTTCCTATTATCCCTGAACGGCGAAACAGTAACATCAACCATGTCATGCTTAACATCAGACACATCGTTACAATTAACAGACAAGTCACCATGACTTACTTTCCTGTCTGCATCCAAGACACTCTGTCCCTTCTTTGACCCAGGTATTGTTGAACTTGACCCAATTCCAAAATAGTTCCAAATATTGCTTCTTCAAAGAAGATTTGGCCGGCACCAGGAAAGATGAACGGTGACTATCCAAACTGTCACCAACTGTCCAAAATCATCAAAAACTGACGTCGTGCGGTCAGAAACTGTCAGCCACGTCTCGTAAACCGTTAATGCCCAGCTCTTGCTACGCTGGGTCTCACGCTGTTCCTTGAAGTTTCTCAGAAACGCTTAGTGATAACGGACGCAAAAACCAAAATACCAATTGGCGACTCGAGGATTCTTTATTGTAACACCAACATATATACAATGTTACAACTAAGCTTCAAAACTAAGGTCTATGTACAAATATTACAATAATAAATCACAATATGACTTCTGACGGTTTTGTCCTGACTTCTTTCTGAACAGCGACCGATGAGACGACGACTGGTGTATTGATGCCTCCGCGAGAATTGAGGAAGTTGATTTTGAGCAAACAACCTATGATTCTGAACTACATTGACAGGGACTTTATGAAAATAAATTTTACTCATAAATGAGGTACACTCAGTTTGGATATATTCTATACTCAGGATAAAGGACAAAATTCGGATTTCCAGCACCAATGATAGGTAATTTCTTCCGTATGGGTTAGAAACATCGTTTGCCATGTTAACCATTTCTAATACCCTGCAGACTTTTATCAGCACCTGCGCTTATCCGATGGTGAATATCATGTGCGCAAGAAGTATTAGCAGCAATAAACTGGAATCGAACCAACGGTAAAAGTATTTCCAAAAGTTATACAAAAGAAGTTGTATACGGGCTGGAAAGGGTGCGAAGACCGTCGAGCAACACATGCGTCAGGCCCTGCCTAGTATCCGAGTGAGGAATGAAGAGCTGGACTTGAGTGCAGCGGTGACATGCGAGAGATCATGCGAGGAGGAGATAAGGGATCGGGAGCCATATAGGGCCAGTTAAACAGGACTAGAGAGAACAGGATGGTATGGGTATAAGTTTGTCAAGGAACTTGTCCCTAATTTCCCATTGTTACAAAGACGCTCCGCACTGATAAATACTATGTACTTTCTTCGACTTTAACTCCAAAACACCAGTGTTGTGAGAAGGAAGTTATATTGTTTGTGAATTAAAGTGGAGAAAAATACAAGTCTACAAACAAATGTTTCATACAAATTTATTATGTACTTTTATTCGCTTTTGTTCGTCTTCGTCGAACTTGTACACGATGGAACCATTCGCGCCTTCGAGTTGCCCACCAATGGCTACCAGTTCCAAAAAGAAGTTCCATGTTCACGTCCATTGACAATGTTGCTGAAGCCCTGAGTTCCAGTTGTAACCCAGTCAACCTAAAGTCAAATAAGTTGTGGACGTAGTGATTAAAGGTTTCTGAACATGAAAATACAAGTTAAGAACATACGTACCCGGAAAAACGTTCATCACCTATGTGCCATGTCGGCTAAATTCCCTAGATCAGTCAGTTCATATCCTATCCTTCGAATCTGCCCTGCATTGTGCGTTAATCTTTGCGACCAGATTTGTTTCTGGACTACTTCGTGTAGATTGTGTGTCTCAATGAGCCGTTTCTTATCCCTGAGGAGGTGAGAGAGCTTTCTACTACCCTGCCTAAACCCTGCAATTATCTGCTAGGGTTGCTTTTCGCCTGACATGCACGTCGTGCAGGTGACTACAACATTAAGTTCGTCATAGAACAAGTCTTCAGAGAAGTGACCTATTGAATCTCGAACTTCTAGTGCAATATCTATAAGGAAGGCTAAGAGTATATGCACATAACTTGATTTTCACGACATTATTTCTTTCGGCTTGAATTATGCTTCTATAGGAATTAACCGCATCCGATGGTTATTTGGTGGGCGGTGGCCCACAGTGGATTCCAGGATGCCCATTTCGTCCTACTTAGAACCCATCAGGTGGATGTACCTGAGGCCTGAACACCGTCACCCACTAGGGAATGCTGGTACTTCCAGATGACGAGTACCGATTAAGACTAAGTGAGGGTCCTGGAATACAATTCTAGTCACCATTCATTAACCCATTTCAATTTAAATCCTAAGATAGCATCGGAGCATCCGCATAAGTAAAAGCACCCCGATACAATCAAAGAGAAAATCCAAATTGTGTTAAATAATATCAGGGGTTCGGTGAAACCCTGCGGTTGTAGAAATGAAAAGAGAAGGTCTGAGTTTTAATAGCTTCCCCGTCAACTATGACATGTGCATACGAGCAGAGGGACTCATAGGAAAAGCAAAGTGAATGTACAAGAGGCTGCGTGAATCTAAATGATTTTGTAGGATCATCAATAAATGTGAGGCAGACTGGATCATAAACGTTACAGGAGTAAGAATGTCAAATCAAACTAGGATGACATAAGATAACCAAACAATGTATTAATTATTAGGAATCAGGAATCACCAGAATACTTAGTTGCTAGATAGTAAGGAATGGTCCACTCGACACAGATTTCAATAATGTAGTGCACAGAACCACGGTTCCGAAATAAAGACCAATTAATTATGACGCAAAGCAGGCTACCGGAATCATCGAAGACACGGTGTTTAAGTGTACATGTGCAATCGCTGTGTTAGCTTAGTAGGAAGTTGTATTCATCAGAAGATGTACACAGTGGATAACCAGACTTTAGGTTGACGCAGGTGATGAACAAAATGTTCTGATATAAGGGAGTTTTTATTCTTAACCTTCTAACAAAAAACTATTTAAAATAAAATTCTAGTCCTTCGCGAACATTATTTTTAGAAAAATAACTTGTCGTCAATGAGCAGACCCACTTGGCAGTTCCTATCGTTTTAATCAGCCAACTCCATGCATTGGTTTGGCCTCAATGTTGGCTCACACTTTGGTCGATCTTTTGATATCGTGTTTTGATTCGTCCTGCTTTAGTTGGACACAGGTAGTAGTTTTTATCATTCGTTAACCAGATATTTTTATTGCATATGTGCGTCCCTGTTTTCATCTGTCTTTAAAAGAAATCGAACACTTTTTAGTTCATATTATTGTCGATGATTTCTCACAATTATAATACACCTAATTGTCTTATTATAGTTCTTCATCCTCTAATGCTTAATATGCAGTTAAAGTTATATAGTGATAGCGTTATATAAAACTCGTCTACTAGCTGCATTTCCCATCATAAGTTGTTGGTGTTTATGATATCTTAACGCCAACAATATTGATAATTCAGTATTTACATTTAGATATCAATGTTTGAAACACTGTAGATTTGTTCAGCACTTTTTTATGTCTCTGAATCTACTATGAGATTTTTGCTTCCCATTTTACCTTAACGCGTAGTTTTGTCTTTTCTGGTTTTTCATCTCAGCTAGCCAAAACATTCGGCTCACTGCAATAGATACTGGGACCACATCAGGTCGTAGGACATTAGAGCACCTTTAGCAGTGAACCCAGGTTTTTCGAAAATTGGCATAAATCGGATATGCTATTTGCCATTTTGATATAAGAACACTACGCATTTAATATCACAATAATACTTGCAGTTTTAAAGCTAAAGTAAATCAGGAAAATCAGAAAGTTGCGTATATCTATTGCAAGTTGGTTATTCGAAGTCTACCTTAAGTAAAACTAACCACTTACATATCTCTGAGACATCAAAGTGTTGTTGGCACAGTGGTTAGGACTCTCGCCAACCATGCTCATGGTTCGAGGTTCGATCCCCTGCCGACGAAGCACACCTGATATCTATGGTCGGCCTGCAAAATTTGGGCTACCGATATCACATGGTGAAAATTCCATACTTATAACAAAAATACGGTGTGAAATAAAGCTGTAATCAAAATAAAAAAATAAATTATTAGTCTAATTTCTGTTTTCCTGCTAATTTTACTCAAACAAAATATAATTCTGTAACATCTTGGACATCAAATAATAATGATTTGTCACGACTTGAACTGCTGCACATGTGTGCAAAGTTCTATGTCGAAAACAGAGACAAACAGGTCTTCTAAGCGCATCGTGTTATGTTATCTTAGCTTGTACGAGATTAACTACCTTAACTGCAAACGGATATCTGTTTTGGCATTGGTGCATGCATCCCTGTACTTATCAGCTATCTTACCATTTTAGGCTACTTAATCTTTCCCAGCTCCTGAACAGTTCTTACTTCGACACTATCATTGTTTTAAAGTTGTTACTTTTTCTGCACATATCTGCCTTTAGTGTGTTATTATTGTCATTACTTCTGTGGTTTATCTTTGTTTTGATTGTTTAAATAATTTAACCCCATCTAAGGAGCTTCAAATAACGAGGAAACGCTTGATAGTTGCGTAATCTCTCTGTTATATCCTACCTGTCTGTCTGTTTTCGACATTGAACTTTGCACACATGTGTGGCAGTAGCACACAAAGCAAGAGAAGAAAGTAGAAGAAATGCATAATAGAGACAGTAAACAGAGGTGTGAGAGAAAGGAAGAGTAATAACGGAGAACAATATAGTTTCATTTGAAATCACAAGTCACAAGGAGTGGATGCATCTGCACCAGCCATTGACAATGATTTTGAGCCATATCACCAATTGTCTCCAGCTGTCATTGGTTCTTACCATCCCGAGGACCCCAACCAGGAAGTCTACACTTTCCTACGTGGCTAGCTTAAACTAACTGTTGTGGATTGCATTGACTGGTGCCATGTTTTAATTTGACTACCGCCAGCTCTTTTCCAGCCTGATCCTATGTCAGCCAACATCGTCCATCGAGGAAAGCGATGACTAGGCATATGTAACACATGTCCTAGCCATTTCAGTCGATGTAGCTTCACAGCCTCGTCGACTGAGTATCCTACCTGGTAAAACTCATCTACTTATTCTGTAAAGTCCATGATTATCTCATCTGATTGCCAGTAATAATGAAATTAAATCCACCATCAATAATTTTTTAAAATATTTTTCATTGTAATCTACACTGTGTCTATCATACTAATATTTTTAATCCTCTTTTCAGATGGGAATTAAGGCTAGTTGTAGTTCAAAATGATGGAATTAATATTATAGAAGCAAATTTTATACCAATTGAAGGCTTTGTTGAGTGAGTGCATTATCTGACATCTAGTTCCAGATGAGTTTTGTATTTTTTTTAAATACTATGAAAATAGACGAGTAGATGCCATGTGACACTAATGTGCTGTAATTAAAGTGTTTGTTCTTTCGGATTCTTTTCTGAAATTCACACTCTTAGATTAGCTTGGGAAAACATTTTTAAAGAATAAGGATATATCGCAGTTATGACTATTTTTGTCTTATTGGGCAGTCTATAAAACGATACTGTCAAGTGAATCAGTGTCATTAAAACTTCTGTCTTTGTTACTCCTTATAGTAACAATAATAATAGTATGAATAAGGATTTTGTTAAGAAGATAAGATACACACCTACATTTAATATTACATCGAGATTTAACTGCTCTCTGTTAGGTTAAACCACTTACAAAGATTATAAGGAACATGAAGTGTTCGTTGGTTTATACGGGATTTTGTAGTTAAAACATCAATGTTACATTAGACTGGTGCTTACTCCTAATAGAAAAATTGAACTCATTTTGTGCCAAGCATATCAATAGTAACAGTTTCCTACAACTGCAGTGTAGTCTACAGATCCCTACGTTTCTCAAACCAACAGTCAAAGACTTGATGGATTGGTTACAGGATTTCATCATGAGCTGACATCAGTTTGAGAACCATTAGAAAACCAAGCAGGGAGTACTGGACAGCTGTTTCGTCCTTGTTTGGGGCTCTTAATCAGTGTGCACCCACTGGTGCTCGAACCCAGTACCTTCTGGTTACAAAGCCACTGGGACCCGATCCAATGGCTCACGAAACAGCTGTCCAGTACTCCCAGGTTTTTCAATGGTTCTCTAACCAATGTCATCTCATGATGAAATCCTGTAACTAATCAATCAAATCCCTACAAACTCATACTTAAATACTTGATGGATTGTTGTCAGGTCTTGATTTGACTACACTTAACATAATATCAGATAATGTCCTTCGTCAAGGAGTGCAGTGGTTCAGTATGCATTGTAACTCATGTTGTATTTATTCCACCAGATGTCAACACGTTCTACCCCTTTACTCCTGCCTATCTTTAAGCTAGGAGTCAGTTTAATTCAATGCTGTAGCATCATCTTATGTTTGACGGGATCAAATCACTCCAGAATAATTTGCGGTCAAGAGTCAAATTATTAAAATTACTTTTAGGATTTAAAATGCCATGATAAACACGGAGAGGGGGACGGATAAAACTCAAACAAAGTAGCACCATAATTACTGAGAAGATTGACATATTGCGCAATTAGGGGTTAGAAATGTAGAAATAACAAAAATAGACAGGATGTTTGGATAAAAAATCTAGTGGGATCATAACTATTGTGACGAATAATTGTTTATGCAATTAGGGATTAAAATGTAGAAATAATAAAATGACAAAAAATAGTTAGGAGGTTCGGATATGAAAATATGGTAGTGTGAATAGTGGAGGGGTTAAGGAAAACTTAAAAATAACATGAATAAACAGGAAGTTTGGATAAGAAAGGCGATGGGATAGTCACTATTAGAAGAATTACTTGTTTATGATGGCCATGGCATGGACAAGGGTTGAACGTATCCCTTTCGTATACATACCATGGGTTCGAGATTTTGGAATGCTAGTGCCTTGGCTATGCCCAGATGTCTTGATTTTACTCCCTTTGATAGGTTTGATCGAATCTTGTATATGATTTTGAATGATTTTGCGAATGGCGTTGAATGTTCTGAATTGACTAGATGTTCTGTCACTGAACTGTATACATGTTTTCGTTCTCCTAGGCTGGATAGTGTTCACGAAGGCGTTTTTCAAGTCAGCGCATGGTTCATCCGATGTATTCAGCTCCACAAGACCAAGTAAACTGGTGTATATGCACGTTGGGGTGGCCCAATGCGCCAGCTTGTCTTTCGCATCCCGGCTGAACAGTTTCTTGCAGGAAAATGTCAGTCATAGGGTCGTGGCGACGCGCTTATGAAGAATTTCTGCTTCAGTGTCACCTTTTGAATCCTAGATTAAGCAGAAGTATCTTTTTTGGGTTGGATTCGATAACATTATTTCATGTATATGAACTTTGTCATTAACCTTTCTATTTCTTTTCTTTTCTGTTCTTTTCTTTGCTATAGGAGTTGGAAATGAAATTGTATATAATTTTAATTACAGTATTTTTTAAACTATTACTCATTCATACAATCTCTACTGAGCCTATTATTTATGGAGCACTTCCAGATACATATGAATCGATAACAGATCATATCATTGTATTACAATCTAATAAACCTATACATTTAACTATATTTGGTATACAAATGGATTATATTACTCATATATCATTTGCATCAATTAAAAAGTCACCAAATTCACCATGTGAACATGAACGTGTTACTAGTTCATTTAATACACTTCCTGAAAGTTCATTTGTTACTTCAAGTGTCATAAGTTTACGTGAATTATCCAGTAATGAAGTAGCTTTTTTTCTATGCATTCGTATTATTCCTGTACAAATTTCATCACTACCACGTATTGATTCATCAGAAAATACCGCATCATCACTAGAACAACAACCGCGACCACGGAATTATTCTGATATTGACGGTAAATGGATTTATGCTAATGGTACTACACCAGAGTATCGTTTATCCTTTCGGACTACAAGTGCTCTTATGCCATTATGGGTACAAATTATTTTAATTATTTTATTATTTTTTCTATCTGGTTTATTCAGTGGTCTTAATTTAGGCCTTATGTCACTTGATAAAACTGAATTAAAAATTATTGAAAGTGCTGGTTCACATAAAGAAAAAGGTTATGCTAAAGCGATACGTCCTGTACGTGAAAAAGGCAATTTATTATTATGTACACTTTTGTTGGGTAATGTACTTGTCAATACATCATTAACTATACTTATGGATGATTTAACTGGGAGTGGTTTATTCGCTGTTATCGCTTCTACTATCGGGATTACACTATTTGGTGAAATTATGCCACAAGCTGTATGCTCAAGGCATGGATTAGCTATTGGTGCAAAAACTTTATGGTTAACAAAATTATTTATGCTGCTCACCTTTCCAATTGCATTTCCTGTTAGTTATATATTGGATAAAATACTTGGTGAAGAAATTGGTCAAGTGTATAGTAGAGAAAAGCTTGGAGTACTTATACGTGAACAAGTAAGTCGAGTTGTTGAGAGTTGCTTTTTGTTCTTTTTTTAAAAATACTTTTTAAATGATCATTATTCTTCCGTTTATCACCATACTTTTTAATGACTTCATAAGTGCCCTTGTACATCTGAGTGTGTGTGTAGGGGGTGGCTGCATGGATGGGTGGAAGACTTTGGTCTTCTTCTTGAGATGATGTCAAGCTGACACAAAACTCCTGTTTACTGCCTACATATGGCTAAGGTGTCCCCTGCAGAAGTAGAAGGAGCAACGGAACTGATAGACATGCAGATGTTTACCTACCTACCTAGGGAGGGCAGCTAGAAAACCCTAATTCCAAACATGTGATGCATAGGCACATAGGCTCTAGAATGCGAACGAGTCGAACGGTTTATAAACATGGTTTGATCATCTGAAACCATGGGAGTGTAGCCTTCAACGCGCTGTTCGACTGCCTTGTGAATCAGATTTTAAGTTAAAGGTTCCGCGAGGGGGGTGGGTAAACCCCTTAAGACAACCACTCGTTTCGATGTGGACATCCTAACAGTATCCCAGCCGTTGCACAAATTACGAGGTTTTGTGTGGCTCAATTTTTAGTTGTCCATAATACATGAAGTTTGTGTTTTAGTGTATAATAAGGTAACACCTTTCAACTTATGAGTTTAAAATCCAAGTCAACTTTCACTCAATAAGTATAACTCATGATGTGAGTGCTGTTTTGAAAAAAGTCGTACACCTGCTCATTTCATTTCGAGCTTTCAACTTTAGGTAATGTGAGCCTAATGAATCACTTTGAATTTTATGCCTTATAAAACCATGTTCACAGTGTGGTTGGGTATGTTTTATTTCTGTGAACGTAAGCTATTATTATATACATAATACATTTGTAACATAGCTGCCTTGTTCCAGTTTGCGACTCTTCAACATGACCCTATTAAAGGTCAAACCAAAGATCTTCAGGTCATGAAGGACGCCCCATTCATTATTTAGCCAGTGGGAGAGTGACTAATCCAGTAGTTCATAAATCCTAGGTTGAACCCATTCGCCGTGTATACAGAGTTGACGCTAACCGATTTTATCTGTCAATGTCTGTATTCATATCCGACTAGGTGGATTCCACTGATCACGAAGACTCTCTTGAACTGCAGGAACTCCTTCGTGAAACTAGTCGCTGGTTAGCATTAAATAGGGAGTCTCAAACTATTGAATTGAATTTTTGATTTTCCCGTCGATCGTTTGGACCGAAGTGCTCGGTCTCAGGTTGACATGTCGGCTTCTTGTGCAGATGCTTCGACGATGTCTGGGCATTTAATTAGTATACAATTGGTGGATGGTGGCTAGCAGTGGAATCCAGGATGCGCATTTCGTCCTATTTGGGACGATCGACGGGAAAATCAAAAATCCAATTCAATAATTAATATATGACCCGTTGCACAAGAGGTGGCTCTCGTGGCCCAAGTGGTCTAGTGGATAACGCTTTGGCGTTTGAAACTATGGGTATTGGGTTCGAGCTTCGGTGGGAACGTCATCACTCACTGAGAAATGCAGGTACATCCAGCTGACGAGTCCCAAATAGGACGAAATGCGCGTTATCCTGGATTCCACTGCTAAGCACCATCCACCAATTGTAGTCTCAAACTATGATGAAACAACAGTCCAATTCTCCCTGGTTTTCAAAGCTTTTCTAACTGATGTCAATTCATGGTCTCACTTGAAATCGATCAAAGAGAAAAGGTTGAGCAGGAGGCTAGCACCTCCACGCGTTATAGAAATAAAACACCACTCCTACCAAAACTTCAAAGCTCTAGCTTGAAGCTCTATGTTCTACTGGGAAAAACTTTCTTTACTGAAGTGTATGAACAGCTGTACCCCAGATATTTCTTATCAGTCTTTATACATATATATATGACATTATTTTACATCTGTACCATAATGTGTGAAAATACTATTGATACTGAATGACGTTTCAAAGACGATTTATTAGTCATAATCATATGACCAATTGTAATTAAACAACTTAGAAACTCGAGTTTTACAGTTCTCATGCTTTTTCCGTCTATTGTCGTGTAAGAGTAAGAGTTGTACAATTTTCCAGTTATCCGGGACAGATGTTGAATCATTCTTTTCACATTTGTTCTCAACTGATTCGATAAACAGACTTTTAGTTGTCAATTCCTTCCCTCCTCCCACGGCTCAGGCTTAGATTTGAAGACTGTTACTCTGTTTCATCCTGTTGGATAGTTGTGTATAACTGTGTATATATTCGACCTTACAATCAAAGCAAGGGGGGCATTAGGTAAACTGAATTATTTTGTCTAGTCAGCTCCACAGGATCCATTAACCAACCATAATTTACATTGCACATATACCATAATCATACATCCTTGACACTACACTACACTAGCCACTAATTAGTGTCCAATCAAAGTATTCAATACAGTCCTACAGGAGGCCAGTCGTTAGCCAGCCCGAATAGCTCAGTGTTGGTAACATCATCTCTGACTGCAGTACTCACTGAGTGATGCGGGTTCGAATTTTGGAAGGGACATGAGTTCCTTCAAGATAGTTGCAGATAGGTCTTGCTGACCAGTGAGTGAGTGCCAACTAGCCCGAAACTTGGGTCCTAGAAAGGCTTTCTGCCGATTGCCTCCAACCATCTAATATCAACAATTCAAAGTGCACCGTGATGTCGAGCCACCTAAAATGCTGATAGTATTCAGTTTGCACCAAACAAACGGCTAGACACACACACACTCTACACTAGTCACTGACTAGTGTCCAATCAAATTTTTCTTGACAGTAAACATATTCACTAATTTGTAGAAGTTTGGAACATGTTTTTATACTACTAATAAAGTTCCAGTGGGAATTCTATGACCATTGTGGGATGCACTTAGTTAGGTGTGAGGACAAATACTTGCCAGCGATGATATTGGCTGGCGGTCGTGCTAAATCGCGAGTTGGCGGGAGTTAAAATTGACTGACTGACTGACCGGCAATCTGAGCTACTAGTACACAAAGGAAGACAGTAGAGAGAGAAAAGACATTTGGAGGGACGATTATAAGCAGGAATGTAAGCGAGAAGGAATAGTAACCCGAAAAAAACAATAAGGTTCAGTGGATATGTGAAATCACCAAGACTGAATGCACCTGCGCCACTGTGAACAATTTCGAGCCATAACACCATTTGTCTCCAGCCGTCATTGATTCTTAGGACCCCAATCACTCAACCAGGAAGTCTACATCTTCTTACGTGGCTGGCTGGTTCAAACTAACTGTTAAATAAAACGGACGGGTCATTGAATTCTCTCCCAGTAGCTGAAGAGTCTACGGGCTAACCTTGTGACATGATGGTCGTCGGTTCGATCCCCGGTTGTGGCTTCGGTGCATGCTACTATTGTTATTGCTATTATTATTCCCTTGGGTTCCGAGTGGAACGTAGGGCTTCAACAATACACCACTTTCTCCTATTTACTGATGTCTTCTTCAGCTGGGTCAACGATTGACCATCATCTCTCATCTCCTCCTCGCCACATGATCTCCTCCATTTCACCATTGGGTGACCTAAACGTCGCTTCCTATTGGGATTCCACTCGAGTGGTGGCCTGCATTGCGCGAGATGTCATTCAAAAGTCTTCTCAATGTATGCCCGATCCATCTCTATATCTGTTGAGCGATCGGCTCTTGGTTGTTCTTCCTGGCCATTTGATTTTCAGTATGGAGCCAGTAATGGAGGCAGCTGTTGATATAAGTCTCCTGTAGGTTGTTGGAAATCGTATTCGTGACATGCAGTGCAAGTTTCTGACCCGCATAGAAGGATCGACTTGATAGTGGTGTATTCCTTCGGCTCATACTACTGAAGAATCCTAAACAGGAACGAAACAGTTCTACAATACTTCCTGGTTTCTAGTGTTTCTCTAACTGAAGTCATTTCATAGTCTTACTTAAAATGATGTAAGTTTACTTAGAACTAATGATGTAAACTGGCATAAATGTAAGAAGAGAATTTAGGCAGTGTAGTAGAATAACATTTCACAAGAAGTAGGTTTATTTTATATGATAGTTAGAATATTAACAGTGTTACGGTGATGACAATTGTAGGCGAAACAAAAATATCAGCAGTCTAACAAGCTAAGTCTACTCCCTCTTTCTTTCCGCCTCTTCAAATTCATTTCAATAGTTGACATTTGTGCAAATTGAAGAACTCTTAGAGCATACATAAGTGATACTAGAAAAGTCTTTAAGTTTTGCACTTCCGTATATAAAATGCCTTATTTTTTTAACGCACGAGTGATTAGTTTGAGGGGGGGGGAAGAGAATTTTCTTTCAACTCTTTTAATGCCTTAAAATTTTTCAAATTATTTATAGACTAACTAATTTATTACTACTGAAGATATTATTATATTATGTGGTGGCTGTGTATGAGACTGCTTGGCTGACAGACTGGTTCCAACATAGAACTTTGCGCGGAGGTGCAGCAATTCGAGTTTCCACACTATCTCTCCATGTAGCACACACAACGCAATAGGGGAGAGTAAAGACCGATTCAGCAAAAGAGAGATAATAAACAGAAGTGTAATAACCTTAATTAACTTTTTTTCCTTCACGTTCCCCAGTTGAACATAGGACGGCTTCAAGCTAGTGGCTTGAAGTTTCTGTAGCAGTGGTGATTGTTTTTTACAGAATGGGGTTACTAGCCTCATGCACAACCTTCCCTCTTTATCAGCATTATTTCTGGCTTAGTGAGGTGAAGGAGTGCTTCGGTGGCCGGGGATCGAACCCCGGACCCTGTGCATGGTCGGTGAGCGTCCTAACCGCTGTGCCACTGACGCACAAACAGAAGTATGAGTGAGGGAAAAAGAATGGTAATATAGCAGAACAACAAAAGAGCTTAATTGGATATGACTGGCAAATTACAAAGAGTGAATGTATCTCCGCCAGCAATTGACAGCGATTATCAGTCATATTAACCTCGCCAGATACTAGCTTGCTAGGCTACTAGCTTACTACTT